ACTACAAGCCACCGAGCTTTCTCCGCCTGTAAACTGGACATTGGACATTGAACTGAACTGAACTGAACCTGACCTGACCTGAATTGGACTGAAAAAGTGACCTTCAGTTTTACACTTTTCGTTGTTCGCGAAATGGGTGGCGACGAGCACCATCATACTGTTACTCGGGATGAGTTAATGAAACCATATGAGCCCTCTTTTGTCGAGAGACATGTAGTACCGGGGCTCGCTGCAATTTTTGATGTGCCAGTGACGCTTTTCCGAGGTAATTAGGTTCTCCATTTTTCGTGATAATTCCTCAGAACATATAATTGAACGTGTGCGAAAACCGTACCCATATTATCATAGACGATACAAGCGCGTTCCCACAATTGAAAGCTGCGAGTTGGATGATCCGGTATGCCTACACGAAGCTAACATACAGTTTCACCGTGACAGGTTAGTATCGTATTTTGAGGCAATCTTCAATTCAATATGCACAGGACAGCATTGGATGAGAATCTTTCGTTGAGATCATTGTGTTGCTGATAAGCTTCCTTAGCCTAAAAAATGTGCGCTTTTGTCTGCTTTATTGTTTTAGAAGGCAGATCTTTGATTGTGATATCTAACACAAACAAGTGAAAAATTCAAGGATGGCCTATTACTTCCCTGATTCAAGTCAATGAACCAGCCGTGAAAGCGCTGTTCCAGCATAAATCTAACGCTCTTACGAGGGTCACTTTCGATTTACTGCCGATAATTGATAGATTATTCCACAGCGGTACAAATCGGTTAATGAAACACCTAGCTCTCAGATCCAGTCAAAATACCCTCGGCTGCTCAACCCTATCACCTACCATGTCACACCCTAAGACAGGGCCGAATAATGTCTGATCTTATTCCCAACAGGTTATTAGAACTTTTGAAACTTTCCATTTCTCGTCCTCTTAATGGCGAGGAGAGTTTCAAATCAGGATGAAATTAAGAGTAGCTCTTCTTCCCAGCAAACGTTTTTGCACTCGGAGCTCCATGTTCTCGCCGTGCTTCGGTTCCAAACGTTGATTTGACCCAGCTTATCTGCAGTAGCTGAATGGGGATGTGATTCTTCCCGTTCGCTGGTGTTCAGTGCTGAAGAGCAGAAGTGTTCATATATATTTGAATAGGGAAACCAAAAACAGGTTTGCACAAGGTATCCTGGTTCGTTTCGCTGCATTTGTACACGTGCATGCCGCAGTTTGTGGTAATTAATATATGTTCAATAAGTAAGGGAATCATAATCAGAGAAAGATTGCGGTCGAAATTACTCACCAAACACGTTTTTTACCAAGTTAGCGTCAGAGTGATGAGCCATTCACGCTGTTTACACAGTTTGGGATGGTAATTTTGAATGGCTTGTGCCTCGGCGTGTTTCAGAACCTTGGTGTTATATGTTGTAGCGGATTCTGAACGCTTCGTGCACCATTTCATTTCATTTCGACTGTGTTGTTTGATCGACGAACTGAGTTTCCTACGGGTCACCGCTGACGTCATACTTCCGAAGTTCCCAATTATCGTTTTCTGAAGCCGAACCGGGATGTGCTCGTTTACTCGGTAATACAGTTATCTTTTCAAGACGGGGAGGAGTAATAACCTCGTAAGCTCTATTACTACCTTACTGCTCAAGATTTGGGCGCAAGAGCTCATTCCTTCATCTTGAGGCGAATCACTGACCGTTGCCATTTTCAAGAAAGGATCCCACAACGATTGAGAAAACCACTACGGGATAAGTTTGATCCCGATCGTCACCAAAGTGCATCGTAGCTTGACGCCTTTGAGAGAGACCAACAAGCGTGAACCGCAAGCCGGATTACGACTTGACCGTGGATGTATTGATCAGATTTTTACGTTGCGTCAGGTCCTTGAGCNGGCCAACGATCGCAGGGTTCCTTGACCTGAAAAGAGTCTTCGACTTAGTTAAATGCGAAGCTCTGATGGCTCCCTTCTTCGAAAAGGAATGCCCCAGAATAACTTTGACCTACTGAGTTCACTGTACTCACAGACTTCTGGTCGGGTAAGG